CATGAAGGGATGTTGGATTTTGTCAAAGGCTTTTTCAGCATCTAGTGAAATGATCATGTGGTTTTTCTTTTTCAGTTTGTTTATATAGTGGATTACATTCATGGATTTTTGTATGTTGAACCATCCTTGCATCCCTGGGATGAAGCCTACTTGATCATAGTGGATGATTTTTCTGATGTGTTCTTGGATTGGATTCACCAATATTTTGTTGAGTATTTTTGCATCAATGTTCATGAGGGATATTGGTCTTTAGTTCTCTTTTTAGTTGTATCTTTGTGTGCCTTGGATATCAAAGTGATTGCAGCCTCGTAAAAAGAGTTTGGCAATGTCCCTCCTGCTTCTATTGTGTGGAACAATTTGAGGAGTACTGGTATTAGCTCTTGTTTGAATTTCTGGTAGAATTCTGCAGTGAAGCCCTGGGATTTTTTTGGTTGGGAGACTTCTGATGACTGCTTCAATTTCATTAGGGGTTATAGGTCGATTTAAACTGCTTATCTGTTCTTGGTTTAATTTTGGTAAGTGATATCTATCCAGAAAATTGTCCTAGTGTATCTTTAGCGCAAGATATTTTCTCTTTCATGTCTTGTATTCTGTTGGTTATGCTTGCATCTGTAGTTCCTGATTGTTTACACAGATTTCCTATTTCCAGTATTCCCTCAATTTGTGTTTTCTTTTCTTTTTTTTTCCCTTTTTTTTTTTTGGTTTCTTCTGAGACAGGGCTTCCCTGTGGAGCTTTGGCGTCTGTCCTGAAACTACCTCTTGTGGACCAGGCTGGTCTTGAACTCACAGAGATCCACCTGCCTCTGCCTTCCGAGTGCTGGGACTAAAGGCGTGCACCACCATGCCCTGAAGTTTGTGTTCTGTTTATTGTCTCTATTTCAGTTTTTGAACTGTTCGAATTGTTTCCTTCATCTGTTTGAGTTTTTTGGCTTTCTTTAAGAGATTTGTTGATTTCTTGTATTTTTCGATTTGTTTTTTCTTCCATTTCTTTAAGGGTTTTTCTCATAATCTGTTTGAGGGTCTCTATCATTTTCATGAAGTTGTTTTTAAGGTCATTCTCTTCTGCTTCATCTGTGTAGGGATGCTCAGGTCTTGCTGGTGTAGAATCCCTAGACTCTAGTGGTGTCATCTTGGTTTTTCTGTTATTGAGTGTGTTTTTATATTGTCTTCTTCCCATCCTGTCTTCCGGTGGGTACAGATGGAGTCTCTTCCTCTCTTGGTGTGTACAGTTCCATGGTTCTCTTCCAGTGGTTGTAAGCAGGTCTAATACTCTGATGTCTCTCCTCTTCCTCCTCCTATGTGGAGGTGGGTCTTGGATGCTGGCAGTTTCTGGATGGGCTGGTCCATCAGGATGGGTTCCTCAGTGCACAGTTCCCAGGCCTCAAGTGGTTCTAGCAGGACATCAGAAACAGGCCCAGGCTTACCCCCTCCCATGGGTGGAGGCAGGGCTAGGACTCTGGCAGACTCTGGATGGCCTGGTCCACTAGGACAGTCCCCCCCCCCCGTGTGTGTAGTAACTAGGCCTCAGGAGGCTCCGAGCAGAGCAACCCACTTTTTTTGGGGGGGGGAACATGCTCTCTCACTGGGACTTGGGGTTCTTGATTTGGCTAGGATGCCTGGCCATCTAGTCCAGGGAACCTTTCTGTTTCTGCCTTTCCAGAGCTAGGATTATAATATACACCACCACACATGGCTCTTTATGTGAGAATGCTGGAACTTGAACTCAGATCTTCATGCTTGTGTACCTAGTGCTTTGCCTCGACTCCTGAGGGTACTTTTATGCACTTTTCCCTCACACTTGTCATTATGAGTTTTAACCGAAGTTGTTTCCTCACTACTTTGATGAAATGCCATACTTACTGGACTGACTTGTTTATTATTTCTAAACAATTTTAGTACATGTAGTACATATTACATGGTATAAAAACAAGTATAGCACATTTTTTGCTTTCATTCATAAATGAAATTGGCCAATGGAATCCTTCTTCCCTTTGAGGGCCATTGCCACAGTAAAGTTTTGGTTATATGAACTAGATAGAAAGGAACTAGATAGATGGCTATACCTTGCTCCAAAAGTTTGTATGAGAATCACTTCATCACTAAATGTGTGAATAACCTTTGCTGTGACTCCCGGAATGGTGTGATCAGTACTTCAGAGAAATTGAAGTGAGGTGAGGGAATTGAGGGGGCGGGCCTTCTGTTTCAGCGAGGTGGATAGGAAGTTCCTTCAAATGAACAGAAGGCACAGTGAAGCAAGTGACAGCTTCAGAGAGGAATATCCTGAGGAAGCAGAAGGCAAAAACCTGAGTACAATCAGGGGCAGCAAAGTGAGCTGCAAGTAGCAAGTATAGTTCTATTTATTTGAGCCAAGAGATTTTAATTTTGCTCCTTTAATCAAAGTTTTCTCTTTTAAAGCATTTGACTGCTTGCTTAGCATATTTTTTTTCTGACTTTCATGAAGGTTTTAGAACACACAGTTTCTTTTTTTATTTTAAGTACTTGTGTGTGTGTGTGTATATGTTTTGTGTACAAGTACAGGCATACATGTGCTATAGTATGTGTGGAAGTCAACAGCTTCCTAACTTGTTTGAGATGGGCTCTTGTTCACCATGCCCTATGCTAAGCTAGCTGGCCTTTGTGCTTGCATGGATTCCCTTATCTCCACTTGCTGTCCCATCTTGCTGTAGGAGTGCTGGGGTTACAGATGTGTGTTACTATGTCTGGATTTATGTGGGTTCTGGAAATCTAAACCTGGTATTCACACCTGCATAGCAAGTACTTTACCTACTAAGCCATCTCTCCAGTATTCAGAACTATGTCTTCTTTCTACCTCTACTTCCAACAAAAACAGGATCTGTTAGAATGGGAGAATAAATACTGAATAAATATCTAGCCCTGGGCCTGATGACTCCACTGCTATACAAAGTTGTTGTCAATCACAGCAAAATAGAAAGGTTCCCAATTTACTTTATGAAGTTAGCCAAAAACATTTTTGCCTCAAAACTCATAGACATATCTGAAAGGGAAAAATTCCAAGTTAATGACTGTAACTGAAAACTCAAAATATAAACACATTATTTTTCTAGTACCTTAAAAAGAATAATTCATCAGGATAATTTAGGGTTCATAGTATAATAGCATTAATGTTTTAATATTAGGAAAATATAAATATCATATGACATATCAAAGGTCATGTAAGAAAAATATGGTAAGCAAAATAGATAAAGGAGTTGATAAAAGCCAGCATTTAGTTCTGGTTAATAATCATGTACATAGTATAAGCTTGACCTCTAAACTCTATTCATGCCAACAGACAAAAGCTCCCCTTAACCCTAATCACAGAAGCTTCTCTTTGTAGCCCCAGGTACTGAGAATAACCAACAGTTGTGGATTCAGCCCTAAATAAGATATTTACACCACTCCCTCTCAGTGTCAGGGAACATTGCAGAGGAGGAAGTGGAAATGGATGTAAGAGCTGAAAGACAGGGTGAAGGAACTGTGCAATGCCACCCTCTAGACTCAGCGCATCCATTGCAAGCATCAGTTCACAACTGCAGTTAACTTGCACATGACTGGCCCTGTCAGTGAGTCTGGAGGGGCTCATGGGACCCTACCTTCATTGCTGAACTGTTGTCAAATGATAGATTCTGGGAGGGAAGAACCCGTGTCTACAGTTGTGTAGCCACCCCTGAGCCTGCCAGGCTCCAACAAATAGCTCCTATCTCATGGTCACAGAGACAACCCTGGTTAAAATCAGGGGAAGGAGAGGGCCACAGAACAAAATGAATAAGCATGAACATGAGAAAGGAATTTGGAGGGAAGTGGTGAGGAGAGGCAGGTGGTAGGAAGACGGAGAAGGTAGGTGGTTAGAGTGAGATCATGCAGCTAATATATGTATGAAATTTTCGAAGAACAAATTTAATCAATAAAAATAAACAACTAGTCCTAGGTATCTAAGACGAGAAATACATTTCTTAGAAAAATAAGAGTATTTAATTTTCTATGCTAACAAGTTTATTCCACTTCAAAGGATAAAGTATGTTCTATACCACCAAGCCAGGTGAAGCTATCAATGGAAAATACTTTTAAAGAATCTCTGAACTTGGATAACATAAAGCCACAACAGCATGATCCTTGTTGCACCTCAGGTTTCCAAAGCATTCTCCAATGTGTACTATACCACCAAGCCAGGTGAAGCTATCAATGGAAAATACTTTTAAAGAATATCTGAACTTGGATAACATAAAGCCACAACAGCATGATCCTTGTTGCTTCTGCAGGTTTCCAAAGCATTCTCCAATGTGTATCTTGGGAGCACGTTCTTTCTTCCCTCTTCACTTCAGATCTTTCCAGGTTGCTTCCATACAGCCAGTGAGCCTAGCTAGGGAAAATTTAGTGCACACCAATACTAAACTCCAGAAGAACTTGCACCCATTTATTCCTCTTGAAAAGTGAGGGTACTTTTAATATTGCCGTTGAACGTTTACAGCTAGATAGCTTTAGAAAATCAAATTATTCCTTCCTTTAGTGAAGTGTCTAAGAGATATTTGCTCTGAGGCCATTAGCTAGTAGGCTAAAGCTTTAAATCATTGAACCATAGCAATATGTTCTAAGTCAATATTTTTAGATTTTTAAAGCCATAGTTCACCTTAAGAAATACTAAGCTTGGCTTATTGTTGGTTGTGTATCCATGTTATGGTCCAATTTTCTTTTAAGAATGAGCTTTTCTTGGTGGAGTGTTTTGGTTCTGGTTGCTGATTTCCCTGTGATTGGCAGGAAGGTGATAAGAGTTTGTTAAATGGTGCCTTCTCTTCTGCCCACAGCTCTCATGTGTGAAGCGTAGTGCCTCATTAGCCCAAGGACCTCGCCAACCGGAAGTTGTCATTTTTACCAGCAATCCATCACGTCCCCTTTGACCTGGCTTTCTCTTTCACAAAGTGGAAACTTCTCTTTGAAGTTATTTTTGTTATAAATTTAAGCAAATGGCTGATCATGTCTCGGATGAAATGCCTACAAAGTGCCCCCACTGTACCTCTTCAGAGGAACATCGGCTTTGCCTGTGCTCAGCCGTCAACTCTCCGGTTCTGGTGGTGGAAATGTCACAGACATCGAGTATTGGTAGTGCAGACAGTTTTGCTTCACAGGAGAAGAAAAAAGAAAAAAATGCCAGCAGAGAACCTTCCACGAAAGATCTGGTAAATATGGAAGATTATACAACATGAATTGACAGCCCATTCTTCATGCCCATCCCTAGGCTCCTCCCTGTCTTCGAGCCCTTGTCAGCCAATTCAGTGGCTTCTTTCAACTTCTTAGAGAACTGTTTGTTTCCCACAGCAGAGATGAGCAAAGTTGGTAGTTATGTATTTTATGGTACTTTCAGTCACTGTCAAAATTATTTCTCAGGATCCCAAACAATTAACATTATCATTCCAGGTCTTAAAAGCTGTTTATACAGAAAAACAAAACAAAACAAAAACTTCTCATTCAAATTTAACGAAATAGGGCTTTTTGGTAGTTTTCTTCAACTGATACAGATTGCTTTATGACAAAGATTAAAGTGTGGCTGTGGCTTCATTATCTAAGATGAAGTTCTAGTTATTTATCTAGAATATAAAATACATTTTGCAAGGTTGGTTCACATGATTTTCAAATAACGTAGGGCTTCTAATCAAACTGATTTGGCTGTATTCATTGGTAAGAAGAGCACAGTGGAAGGCTGTAGTTAATCTAGCACAATTTTGGTGACAAGGAACAGGAAGTTTAGGAAAAGTCAGGCCCTCATTCTTCACCTGAACCTTTTGACATTTGCACCCTCACATGAAGGTCTTCTTTAGCCCAATGAGCCAATGACTTGCACTGCACTCGGGATTTGAAAAAGACAGCAAACTCTTTTGTATACAGTAAATACTATGGCATCCATTAAGGCTGATCCCACTTAGAGTTCATCATTAATAAGAATGTTACATCTTAAGAGTTTTTTTTTTCATAATTCTCTTTCGGTCCTAGTCCACAAGAACAAACGTGGAGAGAAAAGCCTCTCAGCAACAGTGGGGCCGGGGCACTGCCACAGAGGGAAAAGTCCCGCACATAAGGATGGAAAACGGAGCCGACATCGAGGTATGCAGGAAGCAAGCTACAGCTCCTAGAGATGGTCAGCTTTCCTCTTTCTAAAATTTTCTTTTAATCTTTCATCTTTTTAACAGAATTTAGTTATTTTAATTAAAATTTTTCACAATATATTTTGATTATATTTTACTCTCCTCCAACTCCTCCTGGATCCTCCCCACCTCTTACCCACCCAACTTGATCTCTCTCTCTCTCTCTCTCTCTCTCTCTCTCTCTCTCTCTCAAAATAAATCAAATAAACCTCCAGCCAAAATACAAAATCACAAATAAGCAGTAGAAGATCAAAAAGAAAAATGCCCAAAACCAATATGAACAGCACACACACACACACACACACACACACACACACACACACACACACAACCAAACAAAAACATGGAGTCCATTTTGTGTTGGCCACATACTCCTGGGCATGAGGCCTGTCCTAGATTGTGGTTAATATTCTTGACACTCAACTGGAGAAATTGATTTTCCCCTTGCCAGCAGGTACCGATTGCAAATAGCTTCTTGGTTAGGGGTGGACTCCACATCCACTTCTCTCTGTGCTGGGACCTCTCTGTTGTGAACCTGTGCAGGTCTTATGAGTGCTACCACTGTCTCTGAGAGTTCGCATGTGAACATAAGACTAGATAGGTCATAGGTCCTATGGAAAAACCTAACACTATTCTTCTTCTAAAGGAACACAGCAATAAAAAATGACTTCAGATGACATAATGCTATACCCATAGATGGGTGTCTTCCTTAACCCTCATCAGGGAAGCTTCTTGCAACAGATGGGAATTAACACAGAGACCCATGACTGGACATTGTGCTAAGACACTTTGGAACACTTAGTTCTAAATGTGATGTCTTCATTAAACTCCTCCCTTATGACTCAGGGATCTATGTGCAAGATGAGGCAGAGGATTGCAAGAGCCAGAGGTGATAGATGACTCCAAGGATAAAGACACAGCAGACCTCAACTTTCAGGTTTCCTCTAAGCCAGTGGTTCTGGCAGAGCAGAAACAATTGAAAACAGTCTCCGAGGAAAGGAAGTAAAGACCACAGTGAAAATCTTAAGTACATTGAAGTTTTTCTAAAGGAAATGCAGGGAAAGCATGAGAATTAGAATTTGGATGCCTGAAACCTGTGTAGAAAGTGGGGAACAGTGGCACCTGTAGTCCCAGTGCTGGGGAAGAGGAGACAGAAATATTGGCACTAACTGGCTGCCAGGTTCACTGAGAGCCTTGCTTCAAAAACTAAGGTGCATTCTTCAATTTCCATGAGTTTTTAGGGTTTCTGCAATTTGTGTTGTTGTTGAATTCTAATTTTAAAGCATGATGGTCTAATAAGATACAGGGGTGTTATTCAAATTTTTGTATCTGTTGAGGTTTGCTATGTTGCTGAGGATGTGTTCAATTTTAGAGAAGGTTCCATGTGGTGCTGAGAAGAAGGTATATTCTTTTGTGTTTGAATGGAATGTTCTATAGATGACTGTTAAACCCAGTTGGGTCATACCTTCTGTTAGTTCTTTTGTTTCTTTGTTAAGTTTCTGTCTGGTAGTCCTGTCTAGTGGTGAGAGTAGGGTGTTGAAGTCTCTCACTGTAAGTGTGTGACGTTTTATGTGTGATTTCAGTTTTAGTAATGTTTCCTTTACAAATGTGGATGCCTTTGTATTTGGTGCATAGATGTTCAGAATTAAGACTTCATCTTAATGGATTTTTTCCCTGTGATGAATATGAAATGACCTTCTTCTCTTTTGATTGATTTTAGATTGAAGTTAATTGGTTAGATATTAGGATAGCTACACCAGCTTGTTTCTTGGGTCCATTTGATTGGAAAAATCTCATCCCAACCCTTTTCTCTGAGGTAACATCTGTCTTTGAAGTTGAGATGTGCTTTTGTATGCAGCAGAAGGATGGATTCTCTCTTCGTATGCATTCTGTTAGCCTGTGTCTATTTATAGGTGAGTTAAGACCATTAATATTGGGGAAAATTAAGGACCGCCAGGAAATAATCAAAATGAGGGCTGAAGTCAATAAAGTAGAAACAAAGAAAACAATACAAAGAATCAATGTAACAAAGCGTTGGTTCTTTGATAAAATCAACAAGATAGACAAAACTTTATTCAAACTAACCAAAAGGTAAAGAAAAGAGAGAACATACAAATTGACAGAATTTAATCAGAAATGAAAAGGGAGATACAACAATGGACACTGAGGAAATCCAGAGAATCTTCAGGTCATACTTTGAAAACCTGTACTCCACAAAATTAAAAAATTTAAAGGAAATGTACACTTTTCTGGATAGATATCACTTACCAAAATTAAATCAAGAACAGAGAAGTAATTTAAACAGACCTATAAACCCTAATGAAATAGAAGCAGTCATCAAAAGTCTCCCAATCAAAAACAGCCTAGGACCAGATGGTTCCAGTGAAGAATTCTACCAGAAATTTGAAGAACAGCTAATATTAAGATCAAATTGTAAGAAAGAGAACTATAGACCAATATCCCTCATGAACATTGATGCAAAAATACTCAATAAAATACTGGCAAAACAGGTTGGTCGTCGATGCTCAGAGTCATCTGACACCAGCAACCTGCATGCTGGACCGAGTTCTGTGGTGGGATCCGACACACTGAGGCCCGGTGACAGTTCTGTCTCCAAGTGCTGGCCCGGCTGGGCCCGCCCTGCCCGAA